AACCGAGACCCGACTCTTTAAAAACCCAACTGTGTCGTTTGGCCCTCAGCAGGAGGAAAGAGCCTCAGGCCTACCTCACTCTCCCTCACGCAATCTGGGAATAATCACACAGGCCTGCTGTATGGATTATGTGGGGAAATGTTTGTGGCCGTCTACTAGCCCCGATGGTGGTTTACGGATATCACTTTAAATTGCTGGATGTCACTTTAAATTAATTTTTTTAATGACCTGGATGGTTTTTTTTTTTTAATGCTGTGTTATTTATGGCTTTTTTTGTGTGTTGTGATTATATGGTGTGTGTTTTTTTTAAATTGGATCGTTTTTATTTTGTGAGCCTTGCCTTGAGTGGAGAGGCAGCACACCAGATTTCTAAATAAATACATAAATAAGCAAACCACTGAAAAGAGGGTGTGCCAATGTGAAGCGTTACTCCTGTTGGAGTCATTCCGATAGGGCTGCCAACTTCAGGTTGAGAAATTCCTGGGGATTTGGGGGTGGAGCCTGGGTAGGGTGGCATTTGAAGAGGGGGCGAAACCCCAGCCAGGTATCTTCCTCAGATGCCTTCTTCCAAAGCAGCCATTTTCTCCAGGGGAATTGATCTCTGTCATCTGGAGATCAGTCATGATCCCAGGAGATCTCCAGCCACCACCTGGAGGCTGGCAACCACATATCTTCTGGATTGCAGTATCAGGGAAAGAAATTATTTGAGATGGCCTCTTCTGTTAATAACTGAGGATGCCCCTTGAATTTTAAAAGCCCTTGAATTCCTTCAACGTGCTTAAAAAAGCACCCATAATAAAATTACAGTAATAGGCAGATGATTAATGCAAGTTGTAAAGAATTTGTAGGACAGCCCATATTTATGTTGAGTATACCAGAGAATGCTGTTTTCAGCATCAATCATCCGTGAAGCTTGCTTAGGGAAAATCTCACAAACTGGATCTTTAAAAAAAAAAAAAAAAAAAAAAAATCCTGCTTCAGGTTGTGGAACTGAATACACTGCTCCTTTGAGCCAGCTTGCCCAGATGACTCAGTCCAGCGAACCGTTTCTACAAGTACTCAGCCTCCGGAATCATTCCAAAAGGCCAGCTTCAGAAAGCTTAATGTTACATCCAAACCTCACCTGCGTATCGGCTTGCTCAGACTCTGCCTGGCCTTGGATCAGCAGTCCAGCTCAGAGGTATGTAGGCAGTCGGCCGATCGTAAGTTCAGAAGCTACGGAGGAACTTTATCTCAATCATTTGCACGCTGCCATGCTCAAACTAAAGTGTGTGGTGTTTTCAATGCTCCCTTTCTCTCACCCATGCACATGGTTTAACTTAAGGGGTGTGGCCATGCCTCGGCCAAACAGGGAGGAAAGGCTGAACACTGCACCTAAAGCAAGACTGCCTATGTGTAGCAGTCCGTACAAATTCCAGAAATTGGTCTTGAGTGGCAGAAACTGTTATCAGTGCCACCGTGACCACCAGGGCAGGCTAAAACGGGAATCCCTAAATCCAGAGGGAGGAAACTCTGTTGAAAATGTTCCTTGCTGTGACCAAGCAACTCATTTCCTTTGGGACCAGATTCCTGAGTCTGATTCAGCAACTTGGCTTCAATCCAGCCGTTAGGATTTCCTGCACAGATCTGGAAGCTGTACCCCTGCCATTTCTCTTCCTTCCACTTCCTCTGACAAGGCAAATTCTAAAAACCGGAGCATTTATGAATGCTAACAGAAGGACATAATGGCTGCATCCCAGCTTTGAAACAACCCGGGAAATCCTTGGGCTTGTGTGCCATCCCCCCCTCTTCCCTTTGTAAGGGCCAGGAAATGGAAGATTATTTGGTTTGGACATAACTGCATGACATCTAGACTGGGCAAAACGACAAAGCAGTTTATACTCTTTCTTGCAAACCAAGACTTGAATAACTCTTTCTATGCAGCCAATCTGCAAGGCTATTTTAATGAGGTCTAAGATGCAGGCATTTCCCTGGGGCAGTAGGTTACTGGGATTTTAATGCAGGGCTATTTTTGGGCAGGAACGCGCAGGAACGGAGTTCAGGCTGGCTCCTGAGTTGGCCATGCCCAGCAGGAACTCATTAGCATAATAGGCCACACCCAATAGCAGAAACTCATTAGGATTGGCTACATTAGGGGTGTGTGGCTTAACATGCAAAGGAGTTCCTGCTACAAAAAAAGCCCTGGCTTTTGACAACAAACAAGGTAAACAGAATAAGAAGGGAAAGGTGGGTGTGGCTGGATGACCACACTTCTGGTAACATGGGGGTGTGGCCTAATGTGCTAATGAGCGGTGCTGTCAGGGTGTGGCCTAATATGCTAATGAGTTTTGCTGTCAGGGTGTGGCCTATTATGCTAATGAGTTCCTGCTGGGCTGTTTCTACAAAAAGAGCCCCGTTTTAATGTATTGTGTATGGTTTTAATTTGGAATTCCAAGCCAGCTTCAGTGGAAAGGGAAAGCTGTGTGTGTATGTTAAATGCCCCCAAGGCAGTCCGACTTACAGTGACCCTATAAATTAATGATCTTCCAAAATATCCTATCATGAACAGCCTTGCTCAGGGGTCTTGCAAACAGAGGGGGCCTTTGTGGCTTCCTACATCGAGTCAATCCATCTCATGCTGGGTCTTCCTCTGTTCCTGCTGCCTTCCACTTTTCCAAGCATTACGGTCTTTTCTAGCGACTCTGGTCTTACCTAGGGAAAGGTGGTGTATACAAATTAAACGAAGAAAGGTTTGGCATACGTCTTCTCGGATGTGCTAATTCACAATCTGCACAGAGCTTTTTCCTAAGGGGAAATCTTTAAAAAATATATAAAACTCACCTCCTCTGTGATGAAATGGCAAGTCTGGGATTCTACAACCTTGCTCTATATCATATGCAGACTCTAAGAATCTCTCACAAGGAAATTAATACGACTATACCGACGCTGCCTAATTTAAACAGGTCTGAAAGTGGTAGAACCGTTGCTTCTAAATTATATCACTCACAATATACTGGAGGCAGCCACAAGTTCTGTCAATTCACACTTATGAAATCTAAAAAAAAAAAAGACGTAATACGGCCAATGTAATGAAATGTTTGTATCTGATAAGATTTCAAGAAGGAATGGTTATGAATATAGGATGTATCAGGATGATGGAAAAAATGCTTAAGTTTTCCAAGAACACCTGACTATTAACTGAATAACATCTGAAGTGAATTTAACTGTTATGGGAGCAATCATAAGCAGGTAAGAAGTTGAAGCCCATGTTATTCAACGGGGCTTACTCCCAGGAAAGTGTCCTTAGGACTGCAGCCTATGTCTTTTATATGATCATGGCTGTTCTATGTAAATTCCTTAAAAGATAATGGATTAGATCAGGGTTCCCCAACCTTTTTGAGACTTTGGGTACCTCTGGAACTCTGACATAGCATGGCGGGCACAGCCACAAAATGGCTGCTACAGAATGGCTGCCGTGGCAGGCAAAGCTAGCCACAAAATAGTTACCACAGTTTACCCTCAGCCAAACAGTGAAGATGCTTGTGCTGTAGTGGCAGCTGCTCCCAAAGCAACATTTTCAAAAACCCACACAGCCAATCAGAAACCTTAGTGGGCAAAAGACCCACCTGGCCTCGCCCACTTTCTAAAAACATCTGGCAGGTGCTAGGAAAGGTGCTGGTGGATGCCATGGCATCCAGGGTCACCACGTTGGAGATCCATCCACCAAAAAAACAATGCCAGGAATCACAGGATATTCATGAACAAAAGTCTTGTGAGGCAGTGTGACTGTAATAAAGTGGAACTGGGCGAGGCTGATTGAAAAAATTGGCAGGGCTCAACCTAATCGTTTTTTTTTAAAAAAAATGATATAAACACCCTGGCTCTCACGGGAACGATCGTTCTGCATGATGTTAAAAAATGCTTTTAGTGACTCCTCACAGAATTGCAACGGCCAGTGTACTTCAGGAGGTACGTAACAATTAAGCTGGTTTAAGCGCACCCTCTTCAGATGACAAAAGGCACACTGAAATCAATGGCTGCAGAGGGGGAGTGATCAGAGACGCCCTGCCTCTCTATCTAGGCATAACCACCAGCAGGGCATTTTTTGTAGAAAAAGCCCAGCAGGAACTCATTAGCATAATAGGCCACACCCAACAGCAGAAACACATTAGCATATTAGGCCGCACCCCCATGTTACCAGAAATGTGGTCATCCAGCCACACCCACCTTTTGCTTCTTATTCTGTTTATCTTGTTTGTTGTCAAAACCCAGAGCTTTTTTTGTAGCAGGAACTTATTTGCATGTTAGGCCACACACCCCTAATGTAGCCAATCCTAATGAGTTTCGGCTGTTGGGTGTGGCCTATTATGCTAATGAGTTCCTGCTGGGTGTGGCCAACTCGGGAGCCAGCCGGAACTCCGTTCCTGTGCGTTCCTGCCCCAAAGTAGCCCTGACTGCCAGAATGAAAGCACAGCATCTATGCATCTACAGAATACACGGATGTAGGATCCATTCTTGCGACTGGGAATGCTGCTTTCCCCGAGATTCACGGGGACAGGGCCTGTGAGTGTACAAAGGGTACGCACACAGACCTCGAGGCCCACATTCCGGGGACCGTGCACTGGCAGGGTCAGGGTTGGCCCTCTTGTTCCCACTCACCCTCTACGGGTCTCTATTTCAGCCTGTGTACACTGTCAGACAAACAGTCCTGTCATGCAGATAAGCCTCATGAGTCTGTCTGTAACGGTGGTGATATTTCCCCCCGCTATCAGCACACCTCGGATACTAACCCCCACCCCCACCTTCCATGGCTGTGATTTCTTTCAGCATAAAGAATATTTCATGAGACAGATAAAGCAAAGACTCATAAATATCTGACTATTCCTCATGAACAAAAAGCACTTTTCCCCCCTGGGATGGGGAGACTGCCACGTCTCTGTCTGAACTGGTAATCTGGAAACCTTTTTATCTCCCTACCGTTCTCGACACCCAACATGCACTCAAACCCCTAATTTGGGTACCTGAATTGTTTCTTTGGAGGGGGAGGCGGTGGCGCGAAGTCATCAATGCCGTTCTTGTCTTTAGGGAACTCAAAGGCAAACGAAGCTGATTTGCTCATCCCGCCGGTCTTATTCTCTTGGGCGGACCCTTTCCCCCACTCTCCGTGACCAGAAGGACCGTCTACCCCATTCTCCATGTCCGTCTCCTTAGTATTTTTCGAGAGTCCCTGCTCTTCTTCCTCTTCCTCCTCTATTCTGCACTGCCGGCTCCAGGACAGATTGTAGTATTTGTGTCTTCTCTCAGAACTGGAGGAGGATAGGCCTCTATTTGGATCCTCTAAGGAGATACTGTTCACAAGAAGGGAGCATGGAGGCCCAACGATTGTGCTGTCCGTGCCGTTTTTCACCACGTCAACATCCTCACGGCCACTGCTGTCACAGGCCCCAGCTCCGGGAGATGTGACCAGTTGCGTGACAGACCCTTCGTTTCTAGGTGGGCTCCCTTTGGATAACTTAGGCGGAATAGCAGGACCCTCAGCCATCACATTCTTGTTACCCATCTGCCCCTGAAGACCAGGGCCATTTTCTTTCATGCTCATTTCACTGCTCTCCTGAGGCCCTTCGACGTGCTCAACGAAAGAGGACGTCTTCCCAGTTTCTGAGTGAGAGGTGGGACTGACACATGGCCACTGGAACCCGACGGCAGAGTCCGGGCTGCTCAGAAAAATCGTCCGGTTGTCATTTTCCGTATGGGCTGCCATAATGGTAATGGTCGCCGCTACTTGAGTGGCAGAATCTTGGAACTCCCGGTCAGAGCTCAAGTGGTGCGGCCTTTCCCTCCAGGGGCTGTCTGCTTGATCTTTAGAGGGGCTATATGCTGAAACGTTGCTGATCGGATGTGTGCCGGAGGTCCCTAGCTGCACTTTTTTCCTCTTTGTGCTCTCAGCATAGATGGGCTCATCCTGGGGAAGGCCACCCTGGTAGGTAAGCGGCTGTCCTGCAGAAACGTTTGCATTTTCTGTGTGCTTGCCTTCGATTTGATCGGATGCCCCGTCAAGAGGACAGCAATCATTTCCCCGGCTCAGATCCACAGGGCTGTTGTTTTTTACCGCAGCACCCGGCAGAAATGCTAACGTTTCTGTTTCGGAGCGTAAACGGTTATATATGGAATTGTGTGGATGTTTCTCCCCCTGAACGTCTGAATCGGATTCCAAAGTTGCGCTTCCCCGTTCACCAAAATCTACTGCCCTGGACTTTGTTTCTGTACTGATTGCATCATCTTGCCCCAAAAGCTTCCGAATGTGACGTTCACTTTCAGGCCATGCCGATCTGTTTTCCGTACTTCCTAGGGTCTGGTGAACAAGAGACTCTCCACAACAGTCTACAATGGAACAATACTCCCCACCGTCACTTTCTAAGTCTGGAGAGTTGGATACACCAGCTTTGTCTAAAGCTAACACCTCCCCTCTTTGGCGGGGGGAAAGGTATCCGGGAGAGTCCGCAGCTGAATTAATGTGTCTGTCACTAAAAACGGTTGGCTTGTGATAGAGGCCCAAATACGGCAAGGACAACTGCTCCTTGCCAGGCACTTTAGTGTCCTCCTCCTGTACATCCGCCTCAACCGGAAAGGTCATATTTCTTTCTGACTTGCTTGCAGGACCAGAAGTGCCAACCGAGGAAGGGCCACATGGGCCGAGTGAAGTACAATCACTGGAAAGGTTCTGACCGACCGGCTTCCTTAGGACATGATTGCTGAAAGTGTCCATGTACGCTCTTTGCTCTTCTCCAGATTTCATGAAGATATGCTTTCCGGGCACCGTTCTCCTGCTGACCTGTGTTAATGAAAGACAAATACATTCAGGCTGCAGACTGAAGTTTTTAATTTTCAACATTTTAAAGGCTTTAGCTACCTTGGTGGGGGGCGGGGGGCGGGAGAAATACAGAAGATGTCTCAGAGAAATTTTACATGTCCCAGACGATACCTTCCTTGAAACAAATGTTTTATTCGATCCAGAGTCGAGCACTTTAAACAGACCCCTGAGGTAGGTATGAACCTTTTCCACTGAAATCAGTAGGACTTTGTGCCTAATGGTGCAGTCCTCAGCAGGGGTACACCGTTCTAAGTCCATTGAAGTCAATGGGTTTACAAGAGTATAAATCTGGTTAGGACTACACTCTAATTCACGTATGATCATGCATTTCATGTTTACTGGAAAAGGTTACATTGGCGTGGATTCAGTGATGCACAATCAAAAAATAATGGCGTTAGCACAGTTCCAGTTGCGCAAGATCTTGTACAATACCTAGTGCTTTCTTCCCTACGTATTATGTTACCTAGAAATTGGTTGCACAATATGTTGGCCTAGCAGAAATGCAAAAAGTTTGACCTAGGGCAAGCGGCTACTGTGGTCTTTTTCTTCAGTTTCCACTTGTGCCAAGAGCTCTAGCACAAGTGGAAATTTGTGCTGGATCTCACTTATTGATTTTACAATTTTATAATGTAATAAAGGATTACTTCCTCGACATGATATTTATTTATTTATTTATTCATTCATTCAATATGTGTGTGTGTGTGTGTAAATGATATATAAATAAAAGCCCTGCAAGCAGGGCTCAGAGTGGTGAACCCCATTTTAGTAAACACACTTATAAGACAAAGTAAACACAATTAGGACAGTAAAACAATTCACCCTGACCTGGATAGCCCAGGCAAGCCCTATTTTGTCAGATCTCGGAAGCTAAGCAGGGCCAAACCCGGCAAGTATTTGGATGGGAGACCTTCAAAGAATACCAGAGCCAGGAGACAGAGGCAGGCTATCAGGCCATTTCTCTGAACATCTTCCATGCCCCAGCAGGGGTCGCCAGAGGTCGTCAAGACTTCCAGGCACAGGCACACAAACACACACACAAAAACACAGCAAAACAATTCAATACAATTCCAGTGTCAATTTCTGGTGGCACTAAGAAACTAATGGGTGGAAATTACAAGGGAGTCGTTACCGGCTAAATATCAGGAGAAACTTCCTAACTGTAAGAGTGGTTGAGCAGTGGAACAGTCTGCCTTGGGAGGTGGTGGATGCTCTTTCGCGGGACGTTTCCAAGCGGAGGCTGGACAACCATCTTTCGGGTATGTTGTAGGTATGTAGGGCTATCTTTCAGTATACTCCTGCAGAGTGCAGGGGGTTGGACTAGATGACCTGCAAGATCCCTTCCAACTCTAACATTCTATGATTCTATTAAACCAATTTATACCCTTACCCCGTGGTAGGGAGAGGAAGGAAGAAAAGAGCCAGACTCGATGGAAAAACCGTTGCTGCCCTCGACAGCAGGTCTGACGGAACATCTCTGTATTACAGGTCCTGCGGAACTGCACTAGGTCCCGCAGGGCTCAGATGTCATTGGGCGGAGAGTTCTACCAAACCCCCCTGGCTCTGGTTGAGGACAGCCGGGTGTCTTTCGGGCTAGGGATCACCAGAAGATTCTTCTCCCCAGAGCGTAATGCTCTTCGGGGGCTAAACCAGGAGAGGCAGTCCCGTAGATACGTTGGTCCCAGACCGTTTAGGGCCTTGAAGGCTAGTACCAAAACCTTGTTTGGTGTTCAACCTGGAGCCAGCGCGGCTGGCAAAGCACCGGTTGCATGTGTGCTATCAATGGGGTTCCAGTAAGAACCCACACCACTGCATTCTGGGCCAGCTGTAATTTCCAGGTCAGTCTCAAGGGCAGCCCTGAGTAGAGCGAGTTACAGCAGTCTAACCTAGAGTTGACTGCTGCATGGATTACTGTGGCTAGGTCAGGTCAAGACAAGAAGGGGGGCAGTTGCCTGACCTGGCGCAGCTGGAGGAACGCCAGTCTGGCAACATTTGTGATCTGAGCCTCCATCCATAAGGACGCATCCAGAAGCACATTCAGGCTCTTAACAGTCGACGCCGGAATTAGAGGCACCTCATCAAGAGCTGGGAGTTGGCACCCAAGGCCTGAATCTCCCCTTCCCAGCCACAGAACCCCCGTCTTTGACGGATTCAGTCTCAGCCAGCTCTGTTTCAGCCATCCAACCACGGCGTCTAGGCCCTCAGCCAGAATAGCTGTTGCGGCATCTGGCCAGCCGCCCACCAACAGATACAGCTGAGTGTCATCAGCGTACTGATGACGATCCAGCCCGAGACTCCACACCAGCTGGGCGAGGAAGTGCATGTAGATGTTAAACAACATTGGGGAGAGGACTGCCCCCTGAGGGACCCCACAGACCAAGGGGTGTTGAGGTGACACCCTCTCTCCTAGCGCCAACCTGTCCCCAACCTTGGAGGAATGAGGTAAGCTACTTCAAGGCTGTCCCACGAACTCCTACGTCGGCGGAGCGGTGGGTCAACAAATCATGGCATAAGAGCCATAATCCAACCAAAGGGACATGCGTTTACATTACAGCCTCACTCTCCCCCACCGAAATCTGTGAGCACTACAACGAGTTTCATTTGGCTCAAGGGTGCCTACTATGAAGGCTGTCGTCCTAAGTACATTATATAAAGCAGGCATTACCTCACCTCAAGGTTGTCAACAATCAGGTATTTTACCTGCCCACTTGGTAATTATTGCCTCAGGTTCAGAAAGTACTTCTTTGAATAAACCATGCATTCTGACTATTAAGGTTTTAAATAAACTGGGTATATTAACCCAGGAGGCTTTCGAAAAGTTTCTTTCCATGAGCCACAGGCTCTGATCTACTAGGTTCTGCCCCTTGATGGGTCAAACCCACAAGGGTCTCACCAGAACCCACAAAGTATTTTTCAGATCACAAGCTATCAACCCTATTTTGTCGTTTTCTTTGGTCTCCTGGGGCCATCCTATGAACATGTCATCTACAGGTTTCCCATAATTCCTGGCACATAACAAATAATCTGATGGAAGTATCCATTGAAGAAATTGAAGCCTGAGAAGGACCGAGAACCATTCTTCACGTTATGCAAAATCAATCTGCCTGACAAAAGGAATAACATCCAGTATTGTACCAGTGGTGGATCAGTAGCTTGTATGTTTGAAAGTACCCTGCAATCGAGCAAGCTAGCACATCAGAGAAAAATCATGTCGTGTAACCCTTACCAGAGGAGCTAGTTTACCACATGCAGGAGTTTCCTTCCCCTTACATGGGGAATGTATTCAACATAATGGCCTTCCCTTAGTGCTACCAAGTCCCTTCCGGCCTCTGGTGGGGGATGGGGGGGCAGGGTTGCCAGATCCAGGTTTGGAAACTTCTAGAGATTTGGGGATAGGGTTGCCAAGTAGAACTTATCTTGGCGGCGGGGGACACCCGGGTGGATACCGGAGTGCGTGCGCGCCGCACATACATCACCAGGAAGTGACGTTATGACGACGGGCACGCTGGGGGCGGGGCCACGACCATACAAGGGAAAAACATAGAGTTTGCATATAGCAAAAAATGTAAAGACCAACAATAAAACTTGCTTCAAATATATTAGAAGCAGGAAACCAGCCAGGGAGGCAGTGGGGCCCTTGGATGACCAAGGGGTAAAAGGAGTACTGAAGGATGATAGGGAAATGGCTGAGAAGCTAAATGCATTTTTTGCCTCAGTCTTCACTGTGGAAGATGAGAGGTGCTTGCCCACTCCAGAGCCGCTGAGTTCGGGAGGGGTGTTGAAAGACCTGAGTCAGATTGAGGTGACGAGAGAGGAGGTCCTAAAACTGATAGACAACTTAAAAACTGATAAATCACCAGGCCCAGATGGCATACATCCGAGAGTTCTGAAAGAACTCAATTGTGAACTTGTGGATCTCCTGACAAAAATATGTAATCTCTCCTTAAAATCAGCCTCCATTCCTGAGGACTGGAAGGTAGCTAATGTCACTCCCATCTTTAAAAAGGGTTCCAGAGGAGATCCGGGAAATTACAGGCCAGTCAGTCTGACGTCGATACCGGGTAAATTGGTGGAAACCATTATTAAGGAAAGAATTAGTAGGCACATAGATGAACAAAACCTATTGAGGCAGACTCAACATGGGTTCTGTAAGGGAAGATCTTGTCTCACTAACCTGTTAATGTTCTTTGAGGGGGTGAACAAACATGTGGACAAGGGGGATCCAATAGATATTGTTTACCTTGACTTCCAGAAAGCTTTTGATAAAGTTCCTCATCAAAGGCTCCTAAGTAAGCTCAAAAATCATGGGATAAAAGGACAAGTCCTTTTATGGATCAAAAACTGGCTAATTAATAGAAAACAGAGAGTGAGTATAAATGGGCAGTTCTCCCAGTGGAGGGGTGTAAGCAGTGGGGTACCACAGGGATCAGTACTTGGTCCACTGCTTTTTAACTTGTTCATTAATGATTTGGAGTTGGGAGTAAGCAGTGAAGTGGCTAAATTTGCGGATGATACGAAGTTGTTCAGGGTGGTGAAAACCAGTGAGGATTGTGAGGCACTCCAAAGGGATCTGTCAAAGATGGGCGAGTGGGCGTCAACATGGCAAATGGGGTTCAATGTGGCCAAGTGCAAGGTGATGCACATTGGAGCCAAAAATCCTAACTATAAATACACGTTGATGGGGTCTGAACTGGCAGAGACAGATCAAGAGAGAGATCTTGGAGTTGTAGTAGATAACTCACTGAAAATGTCGAGACAGTGTGTGACTGCAATAAAGAAGGCCAATGCTATGCTGGGGATTATTAGGAAGGGTATTGTAAACAGATCAGCCAATATCATAATGCCGCTATATAAATCAATGGTGCGACCTCATCTGGAATACTGTGTGCAATTCTGGTCACCACACCTTAAAAAGGATATTATAGCTTTGGAAAAAGTGCAGAAAAGAGCAACTCGAATGATAA